GGTTTGCCTTGCCTGAGATCCGACGTTGCACGAGAAATGCAGCATCACGGCCGGACACCCCCCGACCCCCCTTCCCGCGTCATTTTTCGAGCCAGATCAATATGTGAGGGCCCGCAGGCCCGAAACCGAGCGAAAACGCCCGGCTCGCAAAAATTGGGTCGCCAGGATCTCGAGGTCGGGTACGCCGCATGGCCGGCTGCGGTTACCTCCGGAGGCCGGGCATCCCAGGATGCTGCCCACGAGCCAAACGCCTGAGGGCTGGATGGCGCTCTCTCGCCCAGATGGCTACGCGGGAGGTCTGATGTTCGACTGGGTTTCGTCGGGATCTCGCGCTCCGGATGTGCAAACTATGCGTTGTACAGGCCTCGGGAAAAACAGCAAGCACTCATGCCACATGCATCGGTAAACGCCTTCCCCTCCCCCCAGTGTTCGACGCTGGCGGTGGGTCCGATGAATTGCTCTTCGACCGCAGTCTCCTTGGCGCGTGCCAGCTTTAAAGTTGGGGGAAAGGGGAAGTGTCCATGAATTGTTTCCCTCTACCGTATCACGCGTACAATGCAACACGTAAGATGTGCCTACAACAGGGTACCAATCAATAGGGCACCAAGTACAGAGCACTGACCATGGGGCACCAACAACGGGGCACCAACCATGGCGAGTCATATGGTAGCAACCATCGAGCACCAACCATGATGCACCTGGCATAGGGCAACAGCGCATGCGGAACCGACCATTGGAAAGCAACATGCAACGTGCAAGCGAGTGCGATAACAAGCGCAATAAAATGCAAACCTTTTGAAAGCAACTGCAACCATTAGAAATTTACAAGACGAGCAGATGCAAGCAACATGCAAACACACGCGAGCAATTGGAAGCGATGCAATCGAAAACGCGCATTGGACAACCGTTGGGACACGATTTGGGCAACCATTGAGAGCCAATTGGGAAACCATTGGAACGCCATTTGGAAACAATTCACAAACCTGGAGCACCATTTGGGCATCACGGGAAAACCATTGGGGAACAATCCGGAATTCATTGATGAATAACTTGGAGTACAGTTGGGAAACTTGATCGTCGAATGGCAAAATGGGTGCGGATTGGGACGCCCAGGAACATTTTGAGGAAGTTACGTCGGAACTACAAGATAACCCTTTTTGGGAAAAAACAACTTGATGGCCCCAACGGTCTCTCACACTTGCACCCCAGGGGGAGGGGCGGCGGGAATCGCGCAAGTCGACAAGCGCTTGCACGCTAGTACATGTTTGAAGAGGGACGCGGGGGAGGGGGCCAAACGCCATGCAAGCAAGCTTGCCCGAATCGAAGAAGAACGTCTCTGGTCTCCAGACGTCCAAAAATCGGCAGCCGCGGTTCTTTCTTTTGCGCCGCCGTCTGGGCCATGACCTCTGCCGGCGTGCCTTGTTCACAGCGTGGCAGGCTCCCCAGAGGCCTGGACCCCTTCGCCGAGACCGTCGCTTCACCCTGCGTCGTTTTTTGACGGTCCTGGGGCCCGGCGAGGGCCCCCAAAGGCCAGAAAATGCGCAAATACCCTCCGTCGTTGTTTTTTTCTGTAAAGAGAAGATGCACGGGCCCTGCGTCGCCTAAACCCTGAGGGGACGTCTCGGCTGGCGCCCACGTCCACCAGGAGAGGTTGGAACGCTCGAAATGGGTGCGAAAAAAATGGGCACGATGACCAACAGCAAGCGTTGTCCAATTCCAGCAAGGGCCGCTGTTGGGCAGCTGCCCTCGTGTCTCAAATCGATACCGTCCGCCGCGACACCGACAGCGAGTCCTGTGCAGAATGAGCCAGAACTGCTGGGGGTCTTCGTACCCTTCGCAACCCATGGAAGCCTCACATACCATTTTGTTGGCTCTTGCGAATCAACGCTGATCGACGCTAATCGACGCTACATCGACGCTACTCGACGCCAATCGACGTTACGTCGGCGCTATCCCATCGACTACCAGGCGCTAGTCGACGCTAGTCGACGATGAAGGCGGAATCACAAGGGATTACTAGGCTCCCATGATTTGCTACCGAATCGTACCCAGTCTTCCCGTACCCGTCGGTCGGAAGAAGTGGGTAGAAACACGAAGTAAGAAGGCGTTGGAGGTAGGTTGGATCACTCCCCGCCCACTGAAGAGGAGGGAAGAAGAACCCACTCGATCCTTGAAGTAGGAAGGCGCCTAAAGTCGATGGTAATCCGAAAATCCAAAAATCCGCCGATCCGGCGTGTGAGTTTCAGAGAGCCTGAGCTACAGCCTACAGCCTGAGCTTCAGCTCTGCTCGGGGGGAGGCCGGGATGGCTCTGCCGGGGAAGGGGGGGGTGCGCCTGTGCTCTGTTTTCTGGGCGGGGCTGGGACACGTCCGCCAAATTCCCACTCCAGGGGCCAGAGAGCCAGAGATGGCCGCCAGATATTTCCCAGACGGCGCAAGATGCACCCAAGATGGCCCAGGATGCCCCCTAAAAAACCCGGAGAGGCCCAAATCATTAATTTTCTATTTGCTTTTGAAGGGTTTGGGCGCTTCAATCTTTCCGGCCTTCCGACGGCCCCGGAAGCCCCCAAGATCGCCCCAAAGGCCTTCAAGATGGCCTTACGAGGGTCCCAAGACGGCCGTGTCGGCCCCAAGACGACCAAGATAGCCTACAAGACGGCCTTGTGAAGCGCCTCCAGAATGCTCCCAGGCGGCACAGCGAGGCGCCCAAGACGGGCCAGGAACACCCTGAGACGGCCAACAGGGCCTCCAAGAAGCCCCCAAGGGGCTCAAAGACCCCCTCAGGAGGCCTCCTCCTGCGACGGCCCCAAAAGAGGGCCCCCAGACGGCCCCACAGGCCTCCGGGCGAACCCGAGCACCATCGGGAGCGCCCTGGATCGGCGGCATTGGCCAGAGGCCGCTACAATGCCTACTCTCAACGAACGGCGTGTGCCCATCTCGATTGTCTCGATGGAGCACTCTTAGATGGGGTCGGAGTAGATGGGGTCGGGGGAACGCGCCGCATCGCCAATACATCGACGATGCATCGGCGATGCATCGGCGATGCATCATCGACCTGGGCGATGCATCGGCGACGTAGACGTGAAGCAAATCGGGCTCCACATCGAGCCGCATCGGCGATGCAGTGGCGATGCGGAGCGATCCTCCGACCCCACCTCCTCCGACCCCATCTAAGAGGCCTAGCCTCGAGCATGGCGCCCTCCCGGGCGCGGGCCGTGGCGCCGCCGAGGCGGCGCGGGCTCGGCGCCGCACCTCCGGGCCCCATCCCCCCGAGGGGGCGGCGCGCGCTCGGCGCCGCACCTCTGCCGACGGCACCGCCGCCGGCAGGCAGACGAAGACCCTTTCCACGCTCGACCACTGGACCCCGTGTTGTCCACCGGCCCCCGGCGGCCCTCGGCGGTCTTCGGGCGGTCTCCTGGCGGTCTTCGGTGGTCCTCGGAGGGCTTCTGGCGGTCGTCGGTGGTCCCTGGCGGTCTCTGGAGGGTCTTCGGCGGTCTTCGTCGGTCCTCGGCGGTCCATGGCGGTCTTCGGCGGTTTCTGGCGGTTCTCGGCGCGAAATCTGGACGCTTGCTTTCAACAAAAGGTCCACGATCGAACACCTACGACCCAGACCCCCTCGAGCCATGAGAAGATCACGACGCAAGGCCTCGCTATTTTCGGCCTCTGGGGGCGCTTGCCGGGCCTCCGGACCGTGAGAAAACGGCACAGGATGAAAAAGCGGTCCCCGGGAAGTGGGTCGAGGCCTCTGGGGGTCGGCGTGGTGAGAAAAGCATGGCGTCGGGGGTCTGGGGGGGTCGGCAGGCAGGAGGGAGCGAGAGGGAGAGAGGGATGGGGGAGACAGAAGCGGGGCCCCGACTGCCGTGGAAGTCGCAGCTTTGGCTCCCCACGGGTGAGCCTGCCCTGGCCCGGGGCCCTCCAGGGGGGGCCCTCGCGGACCGAGCCGGCTCGGAGGGTGCGGCGCGGCAGCGCGGCAGCGAGAGAGGCAGGGTTCGCATGTGGCCCCCTAGAGGTGGGACGGGGCGGAGCGAGGCACGCGTCCTCTGCGGCCTTCCTCCTCTGCTCCGCCTCCCAGGCTGCAAGCTGCTCCTTCGCCTTCCGCTTCACCTCACCGCGCAGCCAGGCCAACCCGGGGGGGCCTGGGCAGGCGCTTCGCCACTCCACCCTCCGAGGACTGCACGTCTGGAGCTCTCGAGACCGGGGGGGGGCTCTCGCGGCTCCTGGTCGGGAAGCTCCTGGGTGCCTTGCTCCTGTGGCGCCTGCTCCTCCTTTGTAACCGTCTCCGTCTCTCTCTCTCTCTCTCTTTTTCTCTCTCTCTCTCTCTCTCTCTCTCTCTCTCTCTCGAAGGAAAGAGAAAGAGAGAGAGAGAGAGAAAGAGAGAGACAGGGAGAGACAGACAGACAGACAGACAGACAGACAGACAGACAGACAGACAGACAGACAGACAGACAGACAGACAGACAGACAGACAGGACAGACAGACAGACAGACAGACAGACAGACAGACAGACAGACAGACAGACAGACAGACAGACAGAGGAGAGGGAGAGGAGGAGAGCGAGGGAGAGGGAGAGGGAGAGGGAGAGGAAGAGGGAGAGGGAGAGGGAGAGGCGGGGGAGAGGGACGAGGGGGAGGGAGAAGGAGGAGGGAGAGGGAGAGGAGGAGGAGAGGGAGAGGGAGAGGGAGAGGGAGAGGGAGAGGGAGAGGGAGAGGGAGAGAGAGATGGAGAGGGAGAGATACTGAGAGGGGGAGGGGCCAGACCCCCGCAGTCGTGATCTGTTTCAAAGCGTGGACCCCCAAAGGTCCCGACTCGGGGCCCCTTCCACGGAACGAGCGTCTCGTCCCGAGTCGCTTTCTGGCAACCCTGGGCCCCGCGGGGGCTCCCGGAAGCCGAAAGACAACTGACCAAAACCTCGCAGCGAGGGGGTCTGGGGGGGCAGCGCAGGCCTGCGCGGCGATCGCCGCGGGGGGGGGTCGAGCCGGAGGGCAGAGGGGGGGCCGTCGGTTCGGGGCGGCCAAGAACTCCTCCTCCTCCTCCTCCTCCTCCTCCTCCTCCTCCTCCTCCTCCTCCTCCTTCTCCTCCTCCTCCTCGCCCTCGATGGGACGCCGCCACACCGGCTAGTTCCAGAAACCCCCTGAATCCTAAAATGAAGCGCGCGTCTCTCAGAGGGCCGAAATTTACTTCCGCCAGCGTAGCGCCGGCCTCCGCCGCAGGACCCGCCGCCGCTTCACCTCCACCCGCTTCCGCCAGCGAGGCCCGCTCTGGACGCCGGCACGCGAGCTCCCAGAGGCGCCCCTGGCGGCAGCGAAAGCGAAAACGGACCGCAACGACAGCGAAACCGAGAACGGACCGAAAAAAACGACCAGGACCGACGGACCGAAAGCAGCCAGGGGAGCACGCAGCGTCGCGGCAACCGGCCTGGCCGAAGCGAGCGAAACAGACTGCGGAGCAGCCGACCGGACCGAACCGCGGACACCACTTGTGATCCTCGTCGTCTAGTTCCCGGGTCAAAACTAATGTCCCCAGCGGCCGTTCGGAACGATTCGGGCGCCCCAGGAATGCCCTCGACGAGCCGCAGCCGATGGAAAGCACCCCGAAGCGAGAAAAATTGGCCTGGCGAAGAACCTGACCCTTTGTAAACGGGTGGCGGCTATAAGCAGGACCGCTCCACGCATGCAAACGCAGCCACTGGGGGGCCTTTGATGGAGCTCCCGATGGGGCCACGAAACGTGTGAGGGCTCTGCCGAAATGGGGCGGGGCCGCATGCGGACGCAACCACTGGGCCATTTGGTGGAGCTCTCCCTCGGTTCACGAAACGTGTGAGGGCTCTGCCAAAATGGGGCGGGGCCGCATGCGGACGCAGCCACTGCGGCCTTCGGTGGAGCTCCCTATGGGTCGAGGTGTCTGCCGAATTGGGGCGGGGCCGCATGCGGACGCAGCCACTGGGGCCTTCGGTGAAGCCCTCCATGGGGCCACGAAACGTGTGAGGGCTCTGCCGAGATGGGGCGGGGCCGCATGCGGATGCAGCCATGGGGGGCTTAGGCAGAGCTCCCTAGTGTGAGTGATTTGCCGAAATAGAACGGGGCCGCATAAGGACGCAGCCACTGGGGCATTCAGCTGAGCTCCCGAGGGGTCCACGAAACGTGAGGGGTGTGCCGAAATGGGGCGGGTAACCGTGCGGACGCTGCCACTGGGGCATTCGGTGGAGCTCCCCATGGATCCAAGAAACGTGCGAGGAGTCTGCCGAAACGGGGCGGGGCCGCATGCATACGCAGCCACAGGGGCCTTCGGTGGAGCTCCCGATGGGGCCACGAAACGTGTGGGGGCTCTGCCGACACGGGGCAGGGCCGCATGCAGACGCAGCCTTGGGGGCCTTCGGCGGAGCTCCCCATGGGTCCACGAAGCGGGGAAGGGTTGCGTGGAAGGGTTGCGTGGAAGGGTTGCCCCACAATTGGGCGGGTAACCAGGCGGACGCTGCCACTGCGGCCCTCGGCGGAGCTCCCTATGGAGCCACGAAACGTGTGAGTGGTATGCCGAAATGGGGCGGGAATCCATGCGGATGCTGCCACTGGGGCCTTCGGCGGAGCTCCCCATGGGGCCACGAAGCGAGTGAGGGGTGCGCTGAAATTAGCGGGTAACCATGCGGACGCTGCCACTGTGGCTTTCGCTGGAGCTCCCCCTATGGGGCCACGAAACATGTGATGGGCGTGCCGAAATGCGAAAGAAGATGAGGAAGTGGAGAGAGGAGGGGGAGGAGGAGAAGGATAAGAAGGAGAAGCGCGACGCTGCGGATTCAAAACTGGGACCCAACACAGAGGAGGGCCGGGAGAACAAGAGCCGACGAGAACTTCCTCCAGGGGCCAGGGAAAACATCCTCACTCCCCTCTTCGCCTCCCTCCCCATGGACGCCCCCTTGGCTCCTGGGGCTGAGCACAGTCATCGTGCTACCACAGGGAACGTTGAACGGGGACCGAAGGGCCGCTCCTGCGAGGCCCAGAGGGCCGACCTGGCGGTCTCAGAACCCCCTTGCGAGGCCCGGAGGGCTCTGGAGGCTCTGGAGGCTCCAGAATGGTGCGAAAATCTGTGAACGGACACCTTGGGCCGGGTAGGGCGACGAAATCTATGCATCTCCACTGCTCCCTGGCCAGGCCCATCCTCAACCCAGCAGCGGCGTATACGCCACGCCATCCTGGCTTGGCCAGGAGGGCGTACGCACAGCTCCTGGGTTCATGGTGGGCCCAGCCAGGGAGCAGTGGACATGCACAGAGTTCGTCGCCCGACCAGGGACGCCCCTCATCACTCGGGCGCCCAAAAGGTCTGACGCGTGAGCTTGGAGCACCGCTGGGGGGAGCCCTGGCCCGAGGTGACCCCAGCCTCTTCCAGAAGGGCGCCGGTGGCCTCTGGAGGACCCCCCGGCGGCGAGCGAGGGGGGGAAGTTAAGAAGGGGCGGGCCTTCTCAGAAGGCTCGGCGTGCTCGTGGCAAGGGGCCTCGAGGGCCTCGAGGGCCTCGAGGGCCCCTTTTTCAAAAGATGCGCCAGGATGGCAAGAGGCCCTCGAGGCCCCTTGCCATCCTGGAGCATCTTGAAAAAAAAGCGTCAGGGTCACCCGGCCTTCTGAGAAGTTTTCTGAGCCTTCCCCGAAGGCGCAGAAAAAACCTCCCAGGAGGGCGAATGCTTGAGAGAAGCCCCCGCCGCCTTCTGAGAAGGCCTTCTCCTTCTCACTTCCCTCTCGCTCGCCGCCGAAAAAACTCAACTGGAGCCCTGGACCATATCTTCCTGCACGATCTTTCGAGCTGCATCCGTGGAAGCCGGGGCGCCCGAGACGGTGCAAAATCGCCCACCGCGGAACGTCAGGATCTCGGGGCTCCAGGGAGGCGGGTGGCCTCCCGAGCACGCCGCCACGAGGCCCAGAGGACGAACGCGGCAGTCGCAAGTCTTCCAGGGAACACGGAGAGAGGGAGAGGGACAGAAAGAGAGAGAGAGAGAGAGAGAGCGGGGACGAGCGAGGCGGGGGACCAACGGAACGAGCGCCCTCCGCCCCTTTCGGGGCACCTCCGACGCTGACCGGGGCCCCGCGAAGACCTCCACCCGTGGCCCCGGCGAGGTCCTCCCTTGCGCCCCCCCGCCTGCTTCGGCACAGCCCTCGCGCGAGTCGGGGGGGGCACCGCCCCAGGCGTCCGACGTCGCCCCCGGGCGGCGAGGACGCACCGGCCGCCTGCGAGGGGCACCCCCCGAGCCGCGCCGCGGCGAAGAGCGGCCGGCGACGGCGCGGTGCGACGCTACGCCCAGGAGCCTGGAGCCCCTCGCGACGTGAGAAGCACCACAGCGGAAGACTCCTGCCGCTTTCGGCCTCTGGGGGCCCCTCGCCGAGCCTGGGGACGGTCGAAGAACAGCTCAGGCTGAAGCGGCAATCCCAGAGAATGGGTCGAGACCTCCAGGCGTCCGCACTGAAGGCAAAATCACGACGTCAGAGCTCTGGGTAGACGGCCTTTCGAGGCGAAAGACTTCCCAAGAACCGAAAAAAAAACAGAAGATCACATCGGCCCTCGATCCCCATATCATCCGACAGATCGGTTCTTCCCGTCCCAGGGGGCGAGGAGGGCGCGTGAAGAAGATGCGGGCGAGGAAGGTGGCCTTTTCCACAGGGCGCAGAGGGACCCCCCGGAGGGGACCAGAAGCTTCTGCGAGGGGGCCCTCGGAAGGCCAGAGGACCTCTGAGAGGCCCCACGCCATCGAAGGAGGCAGACCCCCTCGCGCCACCTCGCTCTGGGAGGGGTGGGGGACGGGGCTGCCCAGGCATCCGACGCCGTGCTGTGTCCACAGCATGGCTCCCCAGAGGTCTTAAGGCCCCTCCCCCGGGACCGGCCTCTCGTCCCGAGTCGTTTCTCGACCAGCCCCGGGGCCCCGGGGAGGGCCCCTAGAGGCCGAAAGCTGCCCACAACCTTCCGCCGCGATTTTTCCTTGCCTCGCAGCGACAAGCACGGGGGGAAGACGGAGCCTCTCTCTCCTTGGCCTTGGCTTCCAGCGCCCTCTGCGTCGCCGCCGCCAGGGCGGCAGCGTTCGCTGCCGCGACCGGCTCCTCTGCCTGCGCCTGCGCGGCGTCCCTGCCGGCCTTCTTCCCCTCTGCCGGGGCTGGCCATCGCGCGCAGCTCTCCCTCGCGGCAAGCCCTGGCCCTGGCGCCCTAGTGTTGCGAAGAGAAGACCACGACGGAGGGGGCCGCTGTCAATTTCAGCCTCTGGGGGGGGGCCCTTCGCTGGGCCCCTGGATCGCCAGAACACGGCTCGGGATGAGAAGCTGGTCCCGTGGAGGGGGGTCCGGAACCTCTGGGGAGCCACGCAGCGAAAAATTCGCGGCGTCGGATGCTTGGGTCGCGCGCACCGCTCCCGCGCAGTATCCTCTGGTCCAAACATCCTCCGTCGTGATTTCTGAACAGCGTGGTTCCCCCCAGGGACTGGGCCCCATCCCAGGGACCAGCTTCTTATCCTGAGTCGACTGTGTTGACGGTCCTGGGGCCCGGTGAGGGCCCCCCGGAAGCCGAAAACTGCAAATACTACAAAAAAACATGATTTCGTCACAACAGCAGACTGCCCCTGGTCCCCCTGGTCCTCCCGTGGGGCTCCTGGGGAGGAGGATGAGAAGGAGGAGGAGGAGGAGGAAGAGGAGGAGGAGGAGAAGAGGAAGAGGAGGAGGAGGAGGAGAGGGGAAGGAGGAGCGAGGAGGAGGAGGAGGAGGAGGAGAACGAGGAGAACGAGGAGAACGAGGAGAACGAGGAGGAGGAGCAGGCTGCCCGCAGTGGTCCAGAACGGGGAGGCCTGCCCCACGGCCCTCCCGCCGCGATACGCTGCTGCGCCCGGCCCCCCCCGCAGGGAGCCGCCCGGGAGCTCCGCCGGGCGATCGCCGCCCGCGGAGCTCCCCGGCGCTCGGCGCTCGCCTGCGGAGGGTCCGCCGCGGGCCCCGCTCGGCGCCAGGGCGCCGGGCTGTGGCTCGGAGCCTGCGGCCGCCGGCTTCCGCGGGTGCTCCTCGAGGGCCCCCTCGAGGGCCGGAGGCCCTTCGGCGGCCCCAGGGGCGGCTGGAGCCCCACGCTCTGCCTCTGCCTGCCCTCGGGTTCCCGGCCCCGTCGGCGGCACCGAGAGGGCCCTTCGGTGGCAGGGCCCGGCACAGGCGAGGCACACAGCCGAGGGGCGATCGGGGTACAGACCCTACAGGGGCAGGGCGAGGGGAGCACTCGCGATGACCAACGCCTTGTCCTTCTTTTTCTTCTTCTTGCCCGAAGAAGATGAAGAATCCGAGTCGGAGTCGCCCGAGTCGGAATCGCTGTCCGAGCCGCTGCTGGAAGAATCTTTCTTTTTCTTGTGTTTCTTCCGCTTCTTTCCGCCTCCTTCCGCATCTTTTTTCCGCTTCCTCTCGAGTCTCCTCTGAATTTTCGCCTCGGGCAGTCTTCCTTATGGCTGCGGATATATAGAGAAAGAGAGAGAGAGAGAGAAAAAACAAAAAAAACAACAAAAAAAAACAACAACAAAAAAAAAAAAAAAAAAAAAAAACAGCAACAACAACAAAACGAAAGAGAGAGAGAGAGAGACAGAGACAGAGACAGAGACAGAGACAGAGACAGAGACAGAGACAGAGACAGAGACAGAGACAGAGAAGGAGACGGAGACGGAGACGGAGACGGAGACAGAGACAGAGAGCAGATCTAGGGAGTCGCACGCGAGGGCCACAAAGTAAACGATCGAGATCGGGGAGAGGAAAAAGACATAATCAAAGGTAGAGACTCGTCAGCCAGGGAAGTGGGAGACGACAGCGTGGGAAAGAGGGGAGGGGAGACCAGCTCAACCGCCTCACAAAAAATGTACATGGGGCGGAAGGTGGGAAAGTGGAGAGACGGACCAACAAGGGTACCAGGTGTCTGTTTCTGCCGACTCGGGCAGCGCGTCGAGTACACAAATCTACCTGCCTTGCGCCAGTTCTGCATCACAGCAGTGATACAGCGAAAAAGGAATGAGGTCTCCAGGTGCCCTCGGGCTGGTGCAGAGCATCGTGTTTATGCTGGGTTATATGCCAACAACCGCGCGCGCGCGCGTGGACACCTCCCCAAGCGTGGCCCCGGGTGCATTACCTTGTAAGTTCGCGGCGCCATGTCGGATGTCAGAGACATGGCAGACACAAAATGAAGATCGGGAGGCCGCAGAGGAGTGAAACATAGCGGGTGGTCAAATGTGAGCCATTTATGTTGAGCTGGTCTAGACTCACTGAGACTGTGCGCCTCTGTCTCGACAATGATTGTTGCGAGGAAGACGACTCTGATGATGGTTCTGTCTCGATCCTGATGGGAGCGAGGAATACGACTCTGATGATGGAGATGATGATTGATGATGATGATGATGCTGATGCTGATGAAGATGATGATGCTGCTGATGATGATGATGATGATGTTTATCATCATCATCATCATCATCATCATCATCAGCAGCAGCAGCAGCATCACTATCAGCATCATCATCATCATCATCAGCATCATCATCAGCAGCATCATCATCACCATCATTATCAGCATCATCACCACCATCCTCATCATCATTCATCATCATCAGCATCACCATGACAGCGGCGATGGCCATGGCGGCGTCTGAACCGACCTGGGTTTCCTGAAACCGAGATCTGGCGGAGCTCCGTGTCCTGATGTTCGCAACGCCCCCAATTTTGACTTGTGTAGACGAGGCGGGATGCATGCCTGCCGAGATGCGCGCAGGTCTCCAGGATGAGAAAATGCCCAGCAAACCAATTGGGGGTGGAGCGGCGGTAGACTCGAGACGTCAGGCTCTTCGGCAACCCCGGGCTGCACTGGGCAGGCGTTTTGGAGACGAGGCTGGCGGGCTCAGTGACCGGAAACTGGTCTCGCTGGCTCCCTTGCGGGGCCACCTGGGCCGCAGGCTCTTGAATAAGTCCGCCGACCCTGTCGGCGCGTGTGAGGGGCTTGTCTGTTCGAGCCGTCGTCTCCATCAGCCGTCGTCCCCGTCGCCCCCCTCTCCTCAAGCTTGTCACCGAGATAAAAATTTAGCAATGTCGTAATCGAGTCGAAGGGAAGCCCCTTCCCTCTGATCCCTCCCCCGCCCGGGGCGGGGTGCGGGGGTGGTCCCGCGGGGGGGTCCCGGGTCAGATACGCACCCCCCCCCTGGGGGTCCAGCCAAGGGTGCCCCAAGAGGCCCCCGAGACGGTCCAAGAGGGCCCCCAATCGCCAAACAATATGTCAAAAGCGCCTTCGCACCCTCCAGACTGCCCAGGAGGCCTCCAAGAGGCCCCCGAGACGGCTCGAAGGCCATTTCGAGCCCTCGGCCCCGAGAGGCTCCCAGGAGGCCTGAAGAGGCCCCCAAGAGGTCCCAAGAGGCCCACAAGAGGCCCCCAGGAAGCCCGAAGAGGCCCCCAAGAGGCTCCCAAGAGGCTTCCCCTGAGGCCCTCGAGAGCCGTCCGAAGAGACCCCAAGAAGCATCCTTGAGGACTCTTGCCACGTCAGAGTCGTCGTCGTTGTCGCCGCCGCCATTGTCGTCATCGCGTCCCTTCAGGGTCGGCGGCACCGGCCGCATGGCCTTCGCAATAGGATGCTATGTGTGCTGGGGATCCCTGCAAGTTTTTCACCATGGATGTTTGTGATGCTGCTGAAGGCAAGGGTCGAACCGCTGCTGAATGCACAAACCCCTGGCCGCGCGACAGAGGGTGCACCAGCGTCCCCTGACGATGCTCCCTCGGCCTCCTGCGGCTTCCAGAATCGAGCTGTCTGCAGTTTGCGACTCTGGCCGATATGTATATATATATATATATGTACTTACGGACTTACTTACATACATACATACATACAGACAGACAGAAAGACAGACACACAGACAGACCGACAGGCAAACATACATTACATATATATATATATATACATACATATACATAAACATAAATATGTGAAAGGCCACCAGCGCGGCACTGGAAAACGGGGAGGCGAGCTGGCACGCAGGCAGGACCGCAGGCATACCGAGGATGCCCAGGGCACCGAAGGAGCGAGGAGAGGCGACGGAGGGGGGAGGAGAGAGGGGTGGAGGACGAGCGCATAGTAAGGAGGGGAGTGGGTGATTTGCTACATGTTCATGTTTCCTTGTGGCTTGTTAGGTGAGGGGGGGAGTAGGAGGAAGAAGAGGAGGCGAGAGGACGAGAAAGAAAGTCGCGAGCCAATATGTCTGGGTTTTGAGGGGGTCGAGAGGATTCTGGGCGGCTTCAAGCTTGTTGTTGCTGGGCCTTAGAAGCGTCGTGGGAGGAGGGGACAGGAGGATAGGGCGACCGTGCCAAGAGAAGAGAGGAGGAAGGACGAAAAGGAGGAGAAGGGATCAGAGGGGAAAAAAGCAGGGACCCTTGGGCTTGTGGGATTACAATCCGCAGACATTGAATCTGCTCGCGGTGTGGCTCTGACTGGGCAGCTTGCCCGCTCGCAGGCGCGCACGAACGCGCACGAAATGTCATACGCGGGCGCGCGTGTGACGCGCACTCTACGCGCACGCGTCGTGACACTGCCAGCAGGGAGTACGTGGCATTCGACGCTCCTTGCTGGCATGGGCCCGCATCAGCCAGGCTGGCACCATGCGCTGGGGGGTCGAGCAGTCCCTTCTCTCGAGGGTCCTTAGAGGCTGTCCGCACCACCTTTCGTGTAGTTTTTCGTGCCGTGGATTGTTCTCTGTGGGCCTCAGGGCCCGAAACGGACCCCCAGAGGGTGTTCAACCTTGAAAGCCCACGCCAGCGTCGTCGCGTGGAGGCGGCGCGAACCTGCTGCTGAGCTGCTGCACAGCAGGCCACGTCTTAAAAGAGCACCGCTGCGACTACCATGCCAACCTACCCCACCCCCTCCCCCCATCCTCCCCGGACCTCCGACGTTATGACCCCTCGTCTCTCCTCCCTGCTCTCTAATTATTCTCGCTTCTCGGTCCCCGGTTCGGCTTACGGCCTTGCGCGGCCCGCCAGCTGCGAAATGAAATGCGAAGTGGCAAGCCGCCGCCATGCGCAGCTCATCATGTTTGAATCGGAATCGTCAAATGGATGCATACTTCAAGGGCCAATGCTTCAGCATTGAAATAGAAGACCGTGCTGTGGCCTCATCTCAATGCACACCTGCCGGTGCAACAGTGCGAGTGACGGCCCATCTCAGCGCAAAAAACGCTGCCGTAGGCTGCTGAGCCCAGCAACCTCCGACGGGTCAAACAACACGTGCATCAAAGGCGTAAGCAGCCTCCGACCAGTCCGACCGGTCAAACAGCACGTGCATGTTGAACCAATTAGTGACTTTCAATCACGTGAGACATCGATCCGAGCAGAGGCGGCGGGCGTCGACTGCAAGCGGCGACGATGGCGAGAAATGTGCAAGCGAGAACTAGAGGGCACGTATCGGTGCGATCTGTTTCTATGAATATGACCGCCACCTATACTTCATCAAGGTGGGGCGCGGACAGCAGCGGTGCATTTGGTTGCATATAATCGTGAAGAGGCGAGCGGCGGCGTGGAGGGACGGGAGCAAGCGCGCACGGCAGCACTCACGGCCTATCCCCAGTGCCAGGCCGCGCGCCCATCATTGCGTGCGAGGGAGGAAGAACGGCGGCGGGACGGCGGGCCAGGCCAGATTCGCGGTGAAGCTGGGCCGCACATCCCCCAGCTCTTGCTCCTGGGGGGGGGGCAGAAAGGCACCGATACAGGCCTCGGAAGACCCATGCCATATTCGTCTGTCAATGCCCTCCAATGATCAAGTTGGCGGTCGGTTGAAAGAGGTGCACTTCGACCGCAGTCTTCCCCGCGCGTGCCAATTTTGAGTTCGGGGGAGAGGGGGGAAGTCCACCGATTGTTTCCCTCTACCGTACCGCGACTCCCTTGCCCTCTCCTGGGGTGCGTTCCGACCAGAGTCTTGAGGCGAACCCGCCCGCAGCGACGAGGGCCACACAGGAAGGCCCGGCGAGGCGAAAACGAAGGAAGGGCAGCGGCATCGTTAAGTCGGGCACGTCCCTCTACAGGAAGAGTATTCCAAAATAGTCAAAAAAATCGGGGACGATTTTTTGACTATCGTTGACAATGTGTAAACATGTTTCGACCATTTTGCATTCTTCGCCCAAAAACCGCCTGTAAGAAATCATGCCCGACCTAACGGTACCAGTACCTTTCCACCTCCGACGGGTCGAGCAATCTGGTTTTCAGGTCCTCACTGGGGTCACCGATGGCCCTTCGGGACGATCCTGGCACCCCCGGAACGCTCTCAGCGAGAAGCAGGTGCTGGAATAGAAAAAGAGAAACGCCCTAAACAGAAACTCTTGTCGCTCCGCGCCAAAACTTTCTGTTTGTGGCGTTTTTGTTCTACTTCGAAGAGAAGCATCCCGGGTTTGGAGAACCTCCGAGAATATTTGCCCCCTCTGAGCTCCACCCGCGTGTCGGTGACGTAGCGCGGCGAGAGGGACTCTGGCTGCCCACGTGGGGGCGCCGCTCCCGACAGCGCCCACCACCTGCCGGCCATCACCTCCTCGGGCAGGTGCTGGCCGGCAGCCTCCGAGAGGGGCTGCTCAGAAGGACACAATGGAGGAGGAGGAGGAGGCGGAGGCGGAGGAGGAGGAGGACGGGGTGGTGGTGGTGGTGGTGGTGGTGGTGGTGGTGGTGGTGGTGGTGGTGGTGGTGGTGGTGGTGGTGGTGGTGGTGGTGGTGGTGGTGGTGGTGGGTGGTGGGTGGTGGTGGTGTGGTGGTGGTGGTGGTGGTGGTGGTGGTGGTGGTGGTGGTGGTGGTGGTGGTGGTGGTTGGTGGTGGTGGTGTGGTTGTCGTGGTGGTGGTGGTGGTGGTGGTGGTGGTAGTGGTGGTGGTGTGTGGTGGTGGTGGTGGTGGTGGTGGTGGTGGTGGTGGTGGTGGTGGTGGTGGTGGTGGTGGTGGTGGTGGAGCCGTTGGGGGCCATAGGTCGATGACTTCTCGCGCATCTAGCCCCGAGGTAGCCACGAGCTACTGCAACTGTGGGTATTGTCACCTCCGCTGCCCGCGGGAGCCGCGCCAGCTGTTGCTGGAAGCGGCCCCGCTCCAGCAGGGGCTCCCCTTTTGCAGCCTCGCTACCCCACCATTGCAAGCACTGCCTGGAGCCAAACTTCTCGCCAAAACCCCGAACAGAGCAAGCACTGGAGGGTGAAAAGAATCGGGGGACGAGCGTGCTAACCTCCGTGAGGAGGAGAAGGAGGAGGAGTAGGAGGAGCAGGACCTGTGTAAACCCAAGAGTCATCAACGATGTTGGAATTAACCCTCCCTTCACGCTCCCTCTTCAGAGGCCCCTACGACGGTTCATTTCCATTGACGGAACTGCCCCGTTGGAAGACAACCGTTTGAAGACCTTGAAGCATGCCAATGCCAGAACATTGCTCTCGGGATTGTCACACAACGGATCAACCTGAATGCTGTGTCCTGACGGTCTGGAATCTTGCCAGAACGCCGTTTTTTGATCTCAACACCGCGAACCAACATAACTGTTGCACCCGCAGAATCTTCGAATCCTTCCTAAACATTATTCCTGGTACATTGATCATGGGAAGCCGTGAAACTCTTGCAATTTGTCATCACAAATGTGCGCCGCGCCAGAGCGAAAACCACATTTTGGAAAAGAACCGCCCTCAATCCGTGAAACTCTTGCAAATGTTTAAAACGAATGTGCGTGGCGCTCAGGCGAGAGCCACATTTTGAAAACCACCCACCATCCATCCGTGAAATTATTGCAATTGCTTGCAACAAATGTGCGCGACGCTAAGGCCAGAGCCACATTTTGGGAAGGAACCGCCCTCAATCCATGAAATTATGGCAAATGTTTGTTTGTTTTAAAGAATGTGCGTGGCGCTCAGGCGAGAACCACATTTTGAAAACCACCCGCCCTCCATCCGTGAAACTAGTGCAACCTGTTGAAACGAATATGCGCGGCGCTAAAGCGCGAGCCACATTTTGAAAACAATCCGCCCTGAATCCGTGAAACGATTTCGAATATTGAAACCGAATGCGCGTGGCGCTCAGGCGAAAGCCACACTCGTGCGAATGATGGAAACGAATGTGCGCAACGCTAAAGCGAGAGCCACAATTTGAAAACGGCCCTCCAACTGTGAAGCTGTTGCAATTTTTCAAGCTTCAGAATCATGAGTGGTGAGGAAGTCTCAGGCGAAGCGCCCGGCCCGCCCTAAAAACTGGCCTCGGGGTGCGACAGAGAGAAATTACGCAACACCCCGCAGATGCGGATAAGAGTGAGGGGGCGGTGGGGGCGTCGGCAGTTTGTGAGACTCCGGAGAAGCCCGCCGCAGGCCCCACAGCTTCAAAAATTATGCAACGAGCCCGCCGCACGCGACGATTTTTTCGTTAAGCCAATGTGGGTAGGTCGCGGGTGGGTCGCGAATGGGTCGCAGATGGGTCGCGGGTGGGTCGCGGGTGGGTCGCGGGTGAGTCGCGGGTAGGTCGCGGGTGTACAGGGTAGAACGTTCACCCCGTAATAATCACCCAGACAAGCAGAGCCGTTTAGTAAACGCTCAGAAGGAATGAATCGACCAGGGCAGGGCTGTTTAGTAAACGCCCAGGGCAGTGTAGTAAACGTCAAGTGTCGGCGGGGCCAGGGTGGATTTTCTTCCCTTGAGGATGGGTCGCGGGGTGGGTCGCGGGTGGGTCGCCGATGGGTCGCGGATGGCTCGCGGGGTGGGTCGCGGGTGGGTCGCGGGGTGGGTCGCGGGTGGGTCGCGGGTGGGTCGCGGGTGGGTCGCGGGATGGGTCACGGGTGAGTCGCGGGGTGGGTCACGGGTGGGTCGCGGGTGGGGTCGCGGGGTGGGTCGCGGGGTGTGTCGAGCGGTGGGTCGCCGGGTGGGTCGCGGGGCGGGTCGCGGGTGGGTCGCAGGTGGGACGACGACAACAAATAACAACAGCAACAACAACAACAATAATTTTAAGACTGTTCGCCCTTATATGCTCGAGTGTCCAATAAAGCGTATTCCCCAAACTCTCGATACCCGCCCTCTTCGTCTTCGATCGAACCGCCTTTGGGGGGT